ACTGCGGCGCGGGGGGGGGGGGGGCGGGGAGGAGAAATAAAAAAATAACACACAAAAACAACTTGGATGATGAAGTCCAGAGCAAATTTTCAGCACATACAAAAACTAATAAGAAATTTTAACACCAATATAATAGATATTTAAAATAAGCATAAAGTAGCCATGAAAATCATACTCGATTTTAACAGTAAGAAATGCAAAGCAAATACAAAACTATTGGGTTGCCTGAAAAATTATAACACATTTTTGCACAGAATAAAATGTCACGGCTTTTCTGACAACCCAGTAGGATGTATGCATACAGGCTAAGCAAGGACCGGTAGGAGAAATGTAACTGAGCATCTCCTGGTTGTGAAACAAATAATAATTTTTTTTTGGGGGGGGGGAAGGAGAGGTTTTTGCTATAGGGCCCTTGCACTCACCAGAAAGACAGAGAGAGAGAGAGAGAGAGAGAGAGAGAGAGAAAGAGATAAATCATCCCCTCAGTGGGGATGGCCATGCTGCAATCCCTTCTCCTCCATTCTCCTCTCAGGATCCTGGGCATGCACGCACATGCACCCAGCATGAGTTTAAGCCACTGGGTCCGGGACTCAAACTGTGGTTGAGTGAAATGGGAGTCCAGAGACATAGTCATTACACCAACTGCTGGTCCCATGATGTTTTGATATATAAACAGTAGCAAAATTTGCAAAGACCTTTTGACATCTTCTCAGTACCCTGGATTACTACCTGTGCTTTGGACCCCTTTACTGGAGCGTACTGCTAACTGTGGACCTTCATTAAAAAAGAGCATGCATCGTTTAGATGAAATTCAAAAATGGATGGCATGTGCAAAATGATGTCTTGAATGTCCTGTACTCTGTAAACCTGCTAAGTTTTCTGCCTAAGTTTGGTGTCTGTTACTGGTAGAACTTCCTCAAACTCGGCAGTATTGGTCAAGAGTTTCCTGACTTTCTGGTGAAGCCAAAGCAAGATGCTATTCAAGGCATTCTGTGGGCAGCTAGGATAGAAGGGAGTGGGGGAACTGCTGTGCCCGAGTAAGAGGAGGCAGTGTCACCAAAGACCAAAGCAATGACATTCTTTAGTGCCAAATACAGTAAAAACAATCAAAAGTTGATTTAAGAACGTACTTACTAAAGAATAGAACTTCGAGTTTTGTTAAGCTGACTTCTCAGCACCTTATCTTTTTAATATTGGCTGTGCTAAAACAAGAAGTATGCATAAAACACTTCTGATGCATACTGAAGGACTACGTTGTCTCAAAACAAACAAACAAACAAAAACAAACAGAACTTGTGTGACAGTTTGGATTAATAGCTGAACTAGCTACCTTGTCCACGAACTACCCTTTCCACTTGAAAGAATTGATAAACTATGATTATTCAGGATTTGGCAGATTTTTTTTTTAAATGAGCCAAGTGAGCCTGCCACTTCAAAGTAAACAACTGACAGTATTTGTTGTCAAAATAACATAGTGTAATGGATTGAGCAGGAGAAAACAGCTGTCCTCTACGAGGCCACACATGAAAGAGATTCGCAATTCTACTCTCTACATTCTACTCTCTATTTTGTGAAAGTTACTTTTCACAAAATGTTAACATTTAACGAATTTATTATTTCAAAGTGGAAGGATGCTTTCATTTCCTCAGTTTTAATTTCTTATGGTAAATGCAGATACAATCAACAAAACCAAAATCTCCTTTGACTTACAATCACTTACAACACAAGGGAATCACAGGACTGAACTGTGTGGGAGCCGACAGCTTTCCGCAATGGAGGTTAACGACCTAGGTCTGCATATAATGGGTGCAGATGAAATCGCTGGGGCAAAGCAGCAAGACGGGAGCATACATGTAGTATGATTCCACTTAATATAAAGTACAAAAATGGGTAACACTGAACCGTGTTATTTAAGATGCATAAATAAGTGATAAAATCACAAAGCAAAGCAAAGCAGTGATTTACGTAAAGTCATGATTGTGACTACCATTTTTTTAATTGCCGAGGGCACACATATCACCAGAGAGAGACGGAGAGAGGGAGAAAGCACATCCCAATGGCACGTGGTCATGGCACGCCCCTTCTCCAACTCTCCAGCCAGCTGGGATTTGGGCATGCGCATGCGCACGTGCACACACACGCACACTCACACGCCTGCTATGGTTTTCAAGCCACTGGAGAAGGGACTTGGAATTGTGGTCAGTCATATGGGATCTGGCTCCTTTAACCACTAGGCTCCTGGGCCAACCCTGATGTTGGCCATCTTTTGAAGGACAGCAAGGGATTACAATTAGGGACATATCTACAAGGGCTTAGGGAATGCCAATATTTTATTTGTTGGTTAGTTTATGTAAAATAACTTTCACAATTATTTATTTTAAATTATATTTACATTTTATTTGCAGTAAATTTCTGAACTGATAATACATTTTAAAAATCAGGGAAATCTTGTTCACTACAGAAAATAGTAGAAAATAAAAAAATATAAAATATTAATCGAAATAAAGGTGACATATTCATTCTGATAACCAAAATAGATTTTAAGGCAAAAACATTTTTAGAGAGCTAAGAATACCATAGAAGATTTAATTTACTGAGAAAATACAAATAAACTATATTCTTAGAGAGGTAACAATGCTATATAAAACAAAAAGTAAAGAGATTTATAAGTAGAAATGAACAACTCTGACATTATAATGCATAATTTAACATACTAAATGACAAATCAAGCAAACAAAAGTATTACTAATAATAGTGAAGGTTTAAAAAACAAAATTAATATGCTTTGGGGAATACATACACACACATATTTTTATATTTTTAGGTCATCAGGAAAGTCATGACATATTTTTCTATGCAATGACGTAATATTATAATCCTGTATGTCAAATTAGAGAATACACATTCTTTTCAAAACAGATCATTCATGAATACTGACATTATTCTAGTCCAAAAACAAGTCTCAAAGCATTTCAAAGAACTCATATAAAAACTGGTCCATATCCTAACAGCAATGTTATCAGGGAAATTAGGAATACGCTTTTAAAAAAATCATATAAGACATGCCGAAGTCAAATATACTTGACTTCTGCATTTATTCTTTTGAGTTTTTTATACTTCTTATCATTACTGAGGGAAGATCATGAAGAATCAACCGTATTAGAAATACGAAAAGAATCAGGGTTATTTGGAAAGAAAAAAATCTATAAGGTAACAACCATCTTCACGGATACAAAGAAGGATGCTCCGAGTTACACCGTAACAGGAAATACCTGACTGAGTACAGGCAGAACGTACTCTGAGAGGGCTTAAAACGTGCAACAGGGCCCTACGGAGGTCACAGACTCTGCTTTACAGGAAAAGCCCGAGGGCCACTGTCTTTCCTGAGGGAATTTTCCCCAGAAAGAAACTGGTTATAAACTCTCCCAATGATACTGTCTCCATGATCTGTCCTCAACTTGGACACCTGATCACCCAGCTGTCCACAGCTCTGGAAACGAGCAGGTTACTTCCTGACACGATATCGATGTACGTGTTTGATGTTTACATTAACAATATTTTGTACACGTTTTCAGGCTGTCTGAACTTTTTTCTCATTTTTAAATGGATTTTCCTTGTTTGTTTGCAGTTTTTGAAATAAAATCATTCCTTTCTGAGCAAAAAAATTTCTATTATAGAAAAAAGTTTTATATCCAACTAAACTGTTAAGGGAGCTGACAATCTTATAATCCTTTTAAGACTGTGGATTAAAATGACATCAAGTTATATCACTTTAACATATACCTTTTACACATAGAGAAAACTGTCTTAAGTAAAATAATAAAATATATATATACACATTTATATATGTTTGTATGTATATTTTTAAATAATAAAAAATAATAAATTCACTTTACCTTCTTATTAAACAAACACCATATAAATAAAATATGCAATTTAAGTTGGCTTCTCAATATTATTCTCTTAATGTCTGAGTGAATTTAATTTATATATGTATTTTAAACTAGAGCTATATTAGGATCCCTTTCTTTTTAAAAATGGTATTCTGAGGTCACTTCTGAACTGAAAATACAGTTGTTGAAAAAACATGTAATTGTCCTGTATAAAATTTATGAGATAAAAAAACAACAAAAAAGCTCACAGAATGATAGAAAAATAAATGATAAAGTCAAAGGTATTAACACATAGGGCATATGGTATTATAATCTGTGAACTTTCATTTTATTGCATTATTGTGTAAGTCATGACACATTTTTGCATAGAAATATATCATGACTTTTTGGACTACCCAATTTTTAAAAAATATGTGCTGTAGAGTATGCACTCACCAGAGACAGAGAAAGGTAAACTGAGAATGCGCCGTCCCCGGGGGATGGCAATACTGCAACCCCTCCTCTTCTATTCTCCTCTCAGGATTTGGGCCACACACGTTCATGTGCCCAGCAAGCTTTTCAGGCTGCCAGGTCTGGGAATTGAACTGTGCAATCGGCCATGTAGCACCTAGCCACTTTAACCACTATGTGCCCAGTTGGCCCGGTCGTTTGGTATATTCTCACAAATTTCTGAAATGATTAACCAAGGAATCCTTTAACATTTTTAAGAAAGACTTTATTTACTGGAAAACTATAGTGAATTTTGTAGGAAAATTCTAAATCTTATCAAGTCTCAGAACAATTAGTTCCATACACTTGGCTTGTGCCCCAACTCACTGTAGGTCCATTCCTGAGGGCAGGCAAAATATCTTGGATTTACTTAATGCTGAGGCAGCTTCCAGCATACTGTCAAATCTACATGAGAGTTAGTTTTTTTTTTTTTTTTTGTGAGAGGTTTTTGCTATAGGGCGCGTGCGCTCGCCAGACAGACAGAGAGAGACAGAGAGATAGAAAGCAGGAAATCACCCCCCAGGGGGGATGGCCACGCCGCAATCCCTTCTCCTCCATTCTCCTCTCGGGATCTTGGGCACGTACGCACACGCGCCCGGCGTGAGTTTAAGCCACCGGGTCCGGGACTCAAACCGCGGTCGACTACGTGGGAGTCCAGCGACATAGCCATTACGCTAACTGCTGGTCCCGAGAGTTAGTTTTTACAGCTGAAATTCTGATGAACTAAACCACACAGGAGGCAACGCACCTACTTTTAGAATTGTGCACTACGACAGAACACTTTCGGCAAAATAGCACGGAGTCAGCCACCCGGATCCTATCTTATCAGGTAGAATATCTGTAACAGAGACCCTCTAAAGGGTTTAAGAACCCTGACTGTCCGTGTTTACATTCGAACACAGGCCACGGCCCGTTTTCAGTTATTACAGAGCTGGCTAACCAGCAGCGCTTCGACTATCTCAAGAGTAAAGAAAGAAGAAAGTACGACGTAAAAAGAGTGCATTTGGGAATTCATCTGTAGGAACTCGCAACCTTTTCAAGCAAGAGTCTGAAAATCAGAATCCTCTTTGAGAAAGAACATGATACACAAACACATTACACGTGTTAAGGTAATAACTTACACAATATTTTCTGTATGCACTAGGAGGAGGCACACAACAAAGGTTTCAGAAAAACAATGTGTGAGAAATTCTGAAACTCAAGTCTGTCCATTAGCATACTTCTTCAGGAGCACTGAGCAGACTGTATCAGACGGACGGTACGCCAACCTGCTCTGGTATTAGCACATTGCTCTCTGAACGCCGTAGGCAAATGTAAAATTTCAGTTACTCTACAGTTCGGGGTTGTTGTTCACTCACCTTTTCCTTATTTTAACCTAAAGTTAGACTATACAATTGCTCTGTGTATTTTAGTCTTCTCATAAATCTAGGAAGAAAATGTAAGATTTTGACTTGATTGTTCCTTGTCATGGTAAGTAAATTCCCAAACATGCTCAATAGCAGATATCGCTCTATACAGAGAAATAACATCATCAAGTTTAACAGGTGAGGGCTGAATACTTAAAGAACATTGAAAGAGTTGTACATACACTATTAGTAGGAGAATGGTATCCATAAAGTTGAAGACGCTGACACAGAGCACAAAGGGCCAAATGAAGTGTCACATTTCAGAATGAACCCAAGTATAGCAAAAGAAAAAAAAAGAAAAAGACGACAAAATAATCAATTAGGAAGGGCAAATCATTATGCTTACATTCTATATAGAGCACACATACAATACAAGGGGGATAAATGTTAAAGATGAGTAGCAAAGTTTTTAAAAATCTCACATTATTCAACATTACATGAATCTGTGCTCGTTTCATCCACTTCCACTGTAACCTTCTGACAGAGCTACTGTTTGGAGTAAGGCCTGTTCCTCTCCAGTATGCAGTTTTATCTAGACGTGCTTCAGCAACTGTACACGGGGAGCAGGGGATCTAGATGCAGCAGTGGAGATGGCATGGAAGACTTGCATGGAACCCTGATCTGCTCTCAGCAGTGCCGGGATGTTAAGCAGGTGAATGTCTCTCAGATGTTTCCATCTGAACAAAGGTGCGAAACTTACCTGGAATTCTGCCATGAGGACTAAACAGGGGCAACATTTACAGTGCACGTGTATGGAGCTTAGCACGCAGGAAGTCTCGAGAATGTTGTGTTTCATCCCTTGTTCCTTCTGCAGCATAGACAGTTTTATTCTGGTATGTATGTATTTTTAAATTTACTGTTCATTTAATTTTGACTTGGGCATGTTAATACTCAGTCTAAAATAGTTTTGTGGGTCTGCTGATTAAAGGAGAACTTTTAAGTTTTACTATTAGCTAACATTTCTGAGTGTTTATTATATTTCACATACTGTTAAGTGGTGGTATCTTTTAGCTCATTAAGCCCCATTAACAGTTCCATGTGCTCATTACTCCTATGCCTGCACTGGACAAATGAAAACCTGAAGCACAGAGAGGCTAAGGGCCATGTTCGCAGTCACCCAGGTAACGAGTGGCAGGGTAATGTTTAAGCCCCAAATCTGGCCCCTGAGCTACACTGCTCCCTTGATGTAACCCATTCATTTTCACAAATAAGCTAAATTTTAGTTAATTTGAAATTCCACCAAAACGTTCTAAGAATTATAGAATCATATTGATGTTTCTATCAGCTTGAAAATGCCATCTTGCATACTACATAATCCACTAAAACTAAAGTAGCATTAAATACAATCTTATCAATTCACATTTGCATTATTTTAAATCTATGAAAAAAGTAAATATAATTATCTTAGTATAGTAATGATTTTATTTTATTTTTTTTTAGATTTTTGCTATAGGGCGTGTGTGCTTGCTGGAGAGACAGAGACAGAAAGTGAAAAATCAGCATTCAGAGGGGTGGCCATGCCGCAATCCCTTCTCCATTCTCCTCTTTTGATCCCAGGCATGCACACAGATGTGCCAGGTGTGATCTTCAAGCCACTGGGTCTGGAACCTGAGCTGCGTCAGCCATGTGGGAGCCCAACAACGTAACCATCATGCCATCTGCTGGGCTCCACCCCTGTTATTTTTAATCTGTCCTTTAAAACAAGTTACCTTCCCTTGGGGCCAGTGGGTGGTTAGGGCACTGGACTTCCACGTGGCTGACCACAGTTTGGAGTCCCAGATCTGAAGGCTTAATTTCTTACTTTCCCTTTCTTTTTCTCTCTGTCTCTCTCTGGTCAAATAAAAGAAAATAATAAATTAAATTAAAACAAACATACAAGTTACCTTTCTTATATATTTGCTAAGAAATTCTGTAACCTATAATTCTATAATTCTGCATTGACTTATATGCATATGAAATAATTTTAATTTAGTGCATGTTGGCATACTATTTCTAATTCAGACAGACTTTCTCTAGCTAATCTAAGTTAATGAGGTTTTACTGTATCACTACTATAAAATACTTGTATTAAATTAACCTTGAATTTCCTCTATCTGGGCTATAACGAAGCTCAAAGCCAAGTTTTGGGCTGAGCTTGTAGCCTTTCCCAGAGTGATTTTTCCCTGTCTTCTCTCCCTTTGTTAACTGACATATTTCAGTAATGTTAATAACAGCCCAGTACTATGTTCTCACTGGAAGAGTCCTAAGACCTGTCTGAGGTAGTATCAATTTTTTAAGAAAAGGTTTCTATCCACTGAAATACTACCTACTTAAATCTTAGGTACATCATTAGATGTACGACATAATTATACCTCCTATATGATAGTTTACTAACAACTTGCCTATTTAGTCAATTACAATAAGAGGTAATCTATCAGAATTAAAAATAACTATTTACTCTTTCACTATAATATCTACAGGAAATAAAATTTAATAAGTATTAGTTTTCTAGTACTTTAGTACTAGAGTATTAGTTTTCTAGTACTCTAGTTTTCTAGAGTATTTTTGGTAATACTCTAAACTTAAAGCATATTTATGGAACTATACATACAGGTTTTATTAATACAGTTTGAAAACCATGAGACCTGAATTTATTTAGAAAAGAGAACTATTAAAGCCTCTTTTAATACCTGGCTAACATCATAATCAGCTCTCTGACTTTTAAGACTGTCTTTCATAAGCTTTGTTGGTGGTGTACTGGGGAGGGTTACCAAACTACTGGTACTTATATCATAATGAAATATCCTGAGCAGCAGTATGTGTTCATAACTCTGATAATGTGCTTTTGTGAAACTAAATATAATCATATTTAATAAATACACTAGAAATTAATATGACACCTATCTGCTAAAGGTGCTCCACGTTTCAAAAATCCTAACACCTATTCTTAGAACAATAGAAATAATAAAAAGTATTGCAACTCTCTAAAGTTAATTATTTGGATTCTATATAGGATAATTAAACTACTGCAGAGAGATATTTATTTACAAACAAAAACCAATTATCACTTATAGTCCAACAATATTCACTGTGTTTCTGGTACCTAAGTACCAAATGAAGAAATATGAATAAAAGTATAGGTTTTAGAGCTGCCAGACATGAGTTCAAATCTTGGACAAAATTATAAGTTTCCTTACCTATAATTATGGATAATAAAAAATACTGTTGGGTGGATTAAATGAGAAAATGCATGTAAAGTACCCAGCAGAGTGCCGGATGGCGAGGTCTCAGTACCTGTTTATTATTTTTATATGCGAACCTGGCCTACTGTCAGGCTGAAATACTAGAGATAAACAAAAAGAAAACTGGTAGGATAGTGGAGGGAAATGCTGCTCAACTCCAGCTTCAGGCTAAGATGAAATTATGCATCTCAGAAGAATCTATAATATATCTTACTAAGAATGCAAGAACCATGTATTTCCTTGTATTTGCTTCAATATTCATACTGTTATATTACCACTAAATGCAGTTACCTAATTAAATCTTTGCAATTCACCTTTAAATATTTATATGCATAATGATCGTATTAATCTATTATATGATACACCCTTCAAATCTCACAGAATACAGCAATATGGATGAAAATGATTTCATGAATGTGGTTATGGAAACACGTTTAATATCAATATTTGACATAAATATTGATATCAATGTATATAAATACTGAAGCAATTTTTCTATCAATACGTAAGAACTTTAGAAAGTTTTCAAGAAAGGGACAGCTCCAAAGTTACACGTTTTAATTATTGGTTCTTAACGCAAATTCTCACCTGGGAAACCCACCTGAAACTACTACAAAGTATTCTTACCAGCATCGCACGTTTCTCCTCGTCACCTTTAGTTTCTCTCTTTTCATTCTTTTTCCTGAATATTTCTTGAAGCTGAAAAGAAAATCAATCCAGAATCAAATATCTGACAAGAGTTCCTATGCACCCCCCTACCACTCTGCACTAGGTGTGTTCTGAAAACAAAGACAATAGCTTCATTTAATAAGAATATTTAGATACTCTAGCGGGGCCGGCAGGTGGCATGGTGGTTAAAGGTGCTGAATTCCCTTCTGGCAGCTTGCTTCTTTCTTTCCCTTTTTCTCTCTTTCTGGTCAAATGAAAAAATAATAACCAAAGGAATTAAATAATTCTTTAAGAAAAAAGATATTATAGATATATTTTCTGATTTTAGTTTGTTTTTCCCAAGAAAAAGGAAATACATCCTTTGTACTGGCAACACATAGTTAACGCAAATGTAATTAATGTTAGTTTTACTTCATTTCTAAGACGCAAGACATGGAGACTAAGGCACACACATAAAAGTGACAGAGCCTGCTGCAGTGTAAAGTACACTGGAATAGAATTCAGGGACTCTGGGTGTGAGCCCACCTGTCCATCTTATGATGGTGGACAGGTCACTCAAGCCTCACTGAGCTCTAATTTGCTCACTTATGAACTGCAGATGGAATAGAAGGCCTCTAAGAGCTCTTTCAGGTGGCCGAGCACGGCAGGGACAAGTTACTCTAATTAGAAAAGTCTGGTTTTCCATATCTGGAACATGCAGATAATTCTTTTTTTTTTTTGTCTATTTTTTTTGAGAGATTTTCACTATAGGGCACGTGCGCTCGCCAGACAGACAGAGAGAGACATAGAGACAGAAAGCGAGAAATCACCCCCCAGGGGGGATGGTCACGCCGCAATCCCTTCTCCTCCATTCTCCTCTCGGGATCTTGGGCATGCACGCACATGTGCCCGGCGTGAGTTTTAAGCCACCGGGTCCGAGACACGAACCGCGGTCGACTACGTGGGAGTCCAGCGACATAGCCATTACACTAACTACTGGTTCCCAATGCAGATAATTCTTCACCCTATAGGAACACTGTGCAGAGTAAGTATTACAAATGATTACTCAGCACATTACATGTCACACAGGAAGTTCTCAGTAAATGTTAGTTGTTATTAAAATCTACAACTTTACACACAGGAAGTTCTCAGTAAATGTTAGTTGTTAGTAAAACTACTGGAAACCTAATTTTACGTCTGTATCGGTTTTCTGGAGTGTCCACCATCCATCTGGATAATTTAGACAGTTACCGCAACTCTTCATTTTATATAGGAATAGTTGAAAGTCAAGGCAGGTAATAACAGTAATTTTTTCTTTTCTTTTGATTTAACTTTATTTATTTATTTCAATTTGACCAGAGAGAGAAAGAGAGGAAGCAAGTCCCACCAGGTCCGGACTTGAACGACCATTGGCCATGTAGAAATCCAGCACCCTTAACCATGATGTCGCCTGCCAGCCTCAACATTAATTTTTCTCTACTGACGATAGAGAGCATGTGTACATGTGAGAGACACAGTGAGAAAGATGGGGAGGGAGAGATGAGCACGCTCCACAAGGTCGAGCCATGCCACGATCGTCTCTTTCTCAGGCCACCAGCTATGGACTTACATGTGCCTGGTGTGTTGGAGACTGAATGGGTGGAGGGATTCAAACTGCAGATGCCATGAGGGGCCCAGCGTCTCTTGAGAAAAACATAACCACTGTGTCACAGAACCAGCCCATGTGGTAACACTTAAAAATACACTGGAGACCCAGCCATGGCAGCACATGTTGCTAAGACAGTGTGCTCCATAGTCTGGGACCACATGGGAGGCCTGGGCTTGATTCTCCGTTCAACCTAAAGGCTGGGGGTGGTGTGTATGCAGTTGTGGTTCCAGCTAGGAGGTTTAGGCAGTGAGAGCCTGTCTTATAAAATGAAAATTAAAAATTAAATTTAAAAAATAAAACTACACTATAAAATGAAGTGTACAGTGGGAGGGGTGGCACCTATAGGAGGTGTGATGAGTGAGCGGTATATGAATCATGGGGCACCTCCCTCATGAACAGACAGATCTATCTTAAGAGAGAGAATAAATTACTGCTTTCACAGGAACTGGTTAATTCCCATGAGAGGAGGTTGGTATAAAAGCAACTTGACATCTTCAGGTCTCTTTCTCTCTCCTGCTCTCCCTCTTCCTCTCTGCACACACTTGCCTTCTTTTCTGCTTCTGTCCACCCTGTTATGATGTAGCACCAGAGGCTGGCTGGTGCCGGTCTCATGCTCTTGGACTTTCTAATCACTAAAACCGTGAGTCAAATAAACCTCCTTATAAATCACTCAGTCTTGAATACTGTGTTATATAGCAACACAGGTAGTAACATAGCAACTAAAACACCCACCATCTGTCCAAGCGGACATTTCAAAAGACATCTATACATAGGGAACATCTAATGTGCTGACTTCCAAAAGTTAATCCTTAAATCAGTGGGATGAAACTTGGCAATGCTGACATAGAGCATTTATTCAAAATTATTTAGGTAAATAGATCTATTCTGAAAGTTCCTAAAAAACAGTTGTGCACTGTCTTAACAAGACTACATTAAACTAAACTTACCAATTTCAGAAATAATGAACATATTTCTACTACAAAGAACCTGACAACTCTTTTACCTTCCAACTCTTCTGAAAAGCACAGTAATTTACAAGTATACAAGTTCAAGCTCCAATGGCTTCACTCAGGGGCTGACCCAGGCAAGAGCTACATGGGTGTTAGTTTAAGCTTTTTGATAAATCCCAGTAACAACTCTGCTTATTTCCCTTTCAATGGCTCCTAATTAGCTCTTAAAAAATAATTATCCACTTTATTTTGTTCTATGTATTATTATTTTTAAAATTTCAACAGAGAGAGACAGAGAGAGAAATGGAAAGTGAGAAAGCAAACCAACAAGTCAGTACTTGAACTATGGGCAGCCATGTGGGAGTCCAGCGCCCCTAACTACCACGCCACCTGCTGGCCCCACTAATTAGCTTTTTGATGACTATTTTTTATCTCTTCTTTTTCCTAAGTAGAAAACAATGTGTTCATAGATATCTACATTCCAGCCAGTGAGGTAACTACAAAGCTCTTTAAGAGGTTTTCTGAGGATTTTTTAAATGGCTACTAATGTGCTATCTTTCCTCTTTCTTCTATTTTGGAGATGAAACAAAATGGGCATTTTGGTACAGAAACAGATGAAGGATACATGGGTTAAAAGAGAAAAACACTGGAAGAGGATGGCGAGAAGATGAGTACCTGAAGACAGTGTCAGACAGCACCAAGGCTAGACCAGTCAGGTGAGATGGATCAAAGAATAAATACCTAAGAACTGTCAGGCCTTGGTCAAAGAAAGAAGAGAGTGAGGAAGGAGAAACAAGATGAAAATACAAGGAAGAAGTGAGTGGAAGAGAAAAGGAAAAAGAGAAACATATATCCTGTATTAAAAAGGAAGAGACGTTCCTATGGACAGAGTTGTGCCTGGGTGGCTGATGTGATGAGGCCTCAAATCACCTGGGCATGCACGGTCTCAGGATTGCCTACGATGCACCCAACAGAACACAGGTGAGACACTGCCAAATTCCAGGCAGTTTATAAGCAATTACAATCATCTTCATATGCTGAATATAATGTACACTTTTATAGCATAAACGTGCAAAGTATGAGTGCAGACATTATTGAATTAGGTGGAAAGCTAAATTTTTCAGTCTTCTACAACAGTTTTCTCAATAATGCAAAATCAAAAATTAAGTAACCAATATTTAATTACTGATACATCACAGCATATAATATACATACCACCAAAAACTCTTTTTTGTCCACCATCTCGTTGCCATCAGTGTCAAACATGTTGAAAGCTATTCTAAAGCCTGCATGTGGCTCTGCCAGAAAAAAAAAAACAGTTGAGATGTTCATGAAATGGAAAAAAGTACCCTAAAGTACAAGTCTGTATTAGCTGTATAGTTACTCGTGTTCTGTACAAAAATACTTCCTCTAACCAGGAGACTGAAAGTAACCTGTTACCATTAGTTATTCAAGGCCACAGAAGCATGTGTGTGTGTGTATGTATATATATATGTATGTATATATATATATATATATA